AAGACCAGCCTGGTACAGACCAGGACAGCTAAGTCTATACAGAAAAACCCTGTCTCAAAAAAAACCAAAAAAACAAAAACAAAAATCAACAAAAAATGGCAAAGTGTTCTTGGATAGGAATGCAAAAGTGTGACTATAATCTCATACTCAAGCTGGACATATATATAGCTCAGTGGGAGAGAGTTTGCTTAATAATATGCATGAGGCCCTGGGATGGACCAGATCACTATCGCCATCACACCAAACACCCATAATGCATGCCCAGATCTCGGACATCTGCAAAATCCAACAAGGAGACTGTATCCTGTATGTAAAAGCAAGAGCCTTTCTTCAAGTTCAACCTTTACTCAAGTTTGAAACTCTGTGTGTCAAATGCATTGGCACGAGAGCCTCGAGCTCAGTTCGGGTGGGGTTTTTAACATAGCAGAGGCTGGAGTGGGGGTTTTCTAAGGTTCAGGAGCCCTGATGGACTGACATTTGTCTACGGGTGTCTTGGTGAAAGGGTCTGGGTATTTGCTGGGCTGAGGGACATCTTGTGATCCTATCTATAATGGTTGGAATGTTAGGTATTTTCTCCTTGGATGGTCCGTTCCTGGGTTGTGTCTGTGTGGTCCTAGTTTGTGACTTTTTTCTAAAGTCAGGTGTTGCCTTAGGGTCATGGCACCAGTGTAGTGAAGCTGCAGGTGTGTACCAAGCTGTCCTGAGCCCTACAACCCCCACCACCTAGCTGTGTGTGTGTGTGTGTGTGTGTGTGTGTGTGTGTGTGTTAACAGTCATTAAAGAGTGCAAACTACAACCATACTAATGGGGCCTGAAGACCTAGGTTTTGACACCTTTGTGGTGCCTCACACAACTGTAACTCCAGTTTCAAGGGATCTGACAACCTCTTCTGGACAACACCAGCACTGGGTTTGCATACAATACAGACATTCATGTAGGCAAAAAACATCAGAGACAAGGGTTTCTCTGGGTAACCTCGGTTGTCCTGGATCTTGTTCTGTACATCAGGCTGGCTTTAAACTCACAGAGATCCACCTGCCTCTCCCTCTGAGTGCTGAGATTAAAGGCATGTGCCACCACTGCCCATATGCCCAGCCTGCTTCAGCCTTTTTTTTAAAGATTTATTTATTTATCACATATATAGTATTCTGCCTACATGCCAGAAGAGGGCACCAGGTTGAATTGTAGATGGCTGTGAGCCACCATGTGGTTGCTGGGAATTGAACTCAGGACCCCTGGAAGAGCAGTCAGCTCTCTAAACCTCTGAGCCATCTCTCCAGCCCCTGCTTAAGCCTTTTTTTTTTTTTTTTTTGGTTTTTCCAGACAGGGTTTCTCTGTGGCTTTGGAGGCTGTCCTGGAACTTGCTCTGTAGACCAGGCTGGCCTCAAACTCACAGAGATCCGCCTGCCTCTGCCTCCCGAGTGCTGGGATTAAAGGCGTGCACCACCAACGCCCGGCCTGCTTCAGCCTTTTAATAAGGGTTTTAAATGTTTTATGAGTAAATATTATTGTCTGCTGTTTTGATGTTCTTATTTATGTTTTGAGACAGGATCTGTTTGTGTAGCCCTGGCTGGCCTGGAACTCTCTCTCTGTAGACCAGGCTGGACTGGAACTCAGAGATCTGTCTGCCCCTGCCTCCTGAGTGCTGGGATTGTTGTTGGGTTTTTGTTCCGTTGTTTGTTGTTGTTGTTGTTTTGTTTTGTTTTTTGATATAGAGTCTAGAACTCAATATATAGCCCAGGCTGGGCTGGAACTCGGATATACCCTGCTTCTGCCTCCTGAGTGCTGGGTTTACAGTGAGTGTCATCATGGCTGACCATGTTTGTTTTTCAGTACTGGGAATTGAATCCAGACCTTCATGAATGTCAGGAAAGCACTCTACCAGCTGAGCTTTCGCACTTAATGGTAATTTTTGGTCTTTGTGAGACAGGTCACATGTAGTCCAGGCTGCCCTCAAATTCTACTTAGCCAGGAAAGACTGAATTGCTCATCCTCCTGTGTCCACATTCCAAGTGCTGGAGTTAAAGACATTCAACACCATGCCTGGTTGCCCTGTGGTGTTTCTTTCCCTCCCCTTTTCGCTTTTAACATTTTTCTTATTTATGTTTGTCTATGTGGAGATCCAAGGACATCTTGTAGGAACTGGTTCTCTCTATGCGGGTCCTTGCTTGGTGGCAGGCACTATTACCCACTGAGTCATCTTTCCAGCCCCACTGTGAGATTTCTACTACCAAAAAGGCTATGATGATAAAGCATATTACATTCTATTTGGTGCAAATGAATTTAAATGTTTATTGTCCTACAAATCACTTATCTAGAGATTCACTCTGTTAAACAATCTGGATTTTAGCATATTCTCAAAGGATATTCAGCTATCACTGCACAAACCCCATACCATTTTCTTCATTGATTTTTTTTGATACAGGTTTCTCTATGCATAGCCCCAGCTGTTCTTGAACTTGTGTCTTAGTTTACCGATGCTGAAGTTACAGATTTTGACTACTATGCCTAACTCACTGCTCTTTTTCTCTTTTCTTTCTTAAGTATTGAGGATTAAACCCAGAATCTCACCAATGCTCTACCAACTGAGTTATAAGCCCAGCCTTCCTAAGTTCCTGCCTGGCCCTCCTGGGTGCTTTGAGTATGGAGAGTACGTGGGCCCCAGCATGCACAGTAAACATTACTTCTTTTGAACTGATGATGAAAAATGTTTTTTTAATTGACTGATACGGTTATTTAGAAATAAAACAAAAACTGAACATAAGGTAAAAAATCAAAAGCTAGCCGGGCAGTGGAGGTACATGCCTTTAATTCCAGCACTCGGGAGGCAGAGGCAGGTGGATCTCTGTGAGTTCAAGGCCAGCACGGTCTACTGAGCGAGTTCCAGGACAGCCTCCAAAACAATACAGAGAAACCCTGTCTCGAAAAACAAACAGAAATCGAAAGGTAAGGTTATAAGATTAAGGGATAGGGTTGTGGTGGCTTATGCCTTGAACACCAGCACTTGAGAGGCAGGCAAATCTCTATGAATTCCAGGCCAGTCAAGGCCTATACAGTAAAACCCTGTCTCAAAAAACAAAAAAAGGCATAATCAAATAAAACACCTCCGCTAGAGTATATTATATTTTGGCTTCCACCATTACTTACCAAAAGTATGCACTTATTCAAACATAACTTCCTATTTCAGATAAATGGCTGTGCCAAAACTTTGACATTAAAACATATACTAAGGACCCAGCACAATGATTCAACTGGTAAAGTTGCTTGCCCCCAAGCCTGGACCTAAGTTCAATACCCAAGACCCACATGGTGGAAGAAGACAACTGATTAGAGCAAGCGGCCTTAGACCACCACATCTGAACACTACCCTCCACAGAAAGAATAAATAAATGTAATCAGAAATTTCTAAAAAGTGATTTGGGGTTACAAATAGCCATTGACTTAAAAAATGATAGGGAAGGGTGAGGTGAATTTATAAACAGAAACTTGTACAGAAATGCAAGATGGGGCTGGAGGTGTAGCTCAGTTGATAGAGTGCTTACCCAGCATGGATGAGGTTCTGGGTTCGATCCCCTGCACCTAATGAGCCAGGCACATGATCAAAGCCTGTAATCCCAGTATTACGAGTAAGTGTAGGCAGGAAGGGGAGAAGTTCGAGCTCATCCTCTGACTCGAAGCAAGTGCACAATCAACCTGGGATATATAAGAGCCTGCCTGTCTCCAAACAAAAGAAAAACAATGAGAATTTTAAAAAATCATTTTCCTTTTAGTGGTGGTTGGAAATTGAATCTAGAGAATCATACATGCCAGGGAAACAATTTTTGCCTAAACTTCGGGGGTTTTTTGTTTTGTTTTTTTTCCAAGACAATGTTTCTCTGTTTAACAGCTCTGGCTGTCCTGGAACTGCGTTCTTAGTACCACCACCCCTTGTTTAAAGACAGGGTCTCTGTCCATAGAACAGGTTGGCCTTCAAGCTCATGAGTTCCTGATTTTGCCTCTTGAGTGTGGAGATTATGTGGGCGCCAGTACTCACAGAAAGTTTTTTTTTTTTTTTTTTTTTTTTGGTTTTTCGAGACAAGGTTTCTCTGTTTAACAGTCCTGGCTATGGCTATCCTGGAACTCGTTCTGTAGACCAGGCTGGCCTCGAATTCACAGGGATCCACCTGCCTGTGTCTCCCAAGTGCTGGGATTAAAGGTGTGTGCCACCACCGAACCGGCCATAAAATATCACTTTTTAACAGACGATGAAAAATAAGAAAGTCTCTAAGATATTTAAATTTCTAGATGCAGATTAAAAAAAAAAAGCTGTGGGCGTTCTTCTGTCACACCGCTTCCAGAAGCTAAATTCACGCGGATGCAGACTAACTAACGTCACCAGGCACCACCTCTCCATCACTAGAAACTTCTGCCAGGGAACAAGGGAGGGACTTTTTTTCTCCAATACGACCCTGAGCCCTTCCCCAGATCTCCGCGCGAGGGCGCTCTGTGCGAGCTTGCTGGGGATCGCGCGGTTTGAGCGAGCTTAGCACGCGGTGTCGTCCTCTGGAGCCAGAGCCCAAGCAAGGCGGGAGAGGACTTCCAGCTGATACCGCTCTGTTAGATAATAGAAATGCTTAAAGCGAGTAAATAAATTAATGGGATAAAATAAAAGAGAAATTTCCACTTTCTGATTTTACATACTAGATAAAACGCCCAGATGCCGGAAAACTCTTCCGGGGAGCAAAAAAAGGAAGCGGAAGAGGCTTTTCTGTCTTGCGCGCTGTGTCGCATTAATATCCCTCCCCTCCAGGGGCCTATCCTGGGGCTGTCCTCAGTTTTGCCTGCACAAAAAAATCTAACAGGACCGCAAGGGATACATTCCAAAACTTTGTATCGTGTTTTGGAGTAAGGTTCCGGGTAGGTTCTGTAAAAATTAAAACAGAGAGACGTCCAAGCAGTAAGATCAGTGCCACATTTGCCATCCTTTTTACCAAGTGTGGGCCGCAGTCCGCCTTCCCGCCGCTCCTCCTTCGCTCCGCCCAAGGGGGCCTGCCTACCTTTATGTCAGGAGGCTGCCGAGCCCTTTCCTTCCTCTCTGAGCAAGATGGCTGGGGGTGAGGTTGGAGTGACTCTCGGGCAGCCACATCTTTCCCGGCAGGATCTCGCCACATTGGTGAGCTTTCGATTGGCGGCGGAAATGTACCATGAACTCGAGGGTGGGAAAGCACTCTCGGAGGGCGTGGAGATGAGGTAGTGCCGGGGTGGCTGGAGCGTGGGGTGAAGGAGCTGTCCCAGACCCTGTAAGTCTTAGAGTCTAAGGCGTGCCAGCTCCGCCGCCGGTACCTTGTCTAGTCCCCAAACTGGTGAACGACTTTGAGACTTGGAACTCCTGGAGTGTGTGACTAAGCTTTGGAGAGAAATATAATTACGGAGTGTGGGGCTGCAGTTCTTTGTGTAGAGTGCAATAATTAGCAGGCACAAACCCCTGAGTTTCATCCCCAGAAGTGAATAAGCGCACGCCTGTAATCCTAGCACTTAAGAGATGGAAACAGATAGATCAAAAGTTAGGGTCATTCTTGGCTACATATCGAACTGGAGGCCAGCACGAGACACGAAATTGTTAAAAGTCATTAAGGTTTAAGTCTGTAAAGGATTGGAGACCGGACTGCACGGCCCACTGTGTTGGACAGTTGAGGACTTGCTAAGGCTCCAGGATTAGATGACCTCTTATCTCCAGACCTCTCAGTGAGTGGAGTTGTCTTGTGTGACAATCTTAGTACCTTAAGAGAAAAGACACTTTAGCAGGAGAAAATAGCTGCTTATACAGGGCAGAGTTGTATTTGGGGAATATAAAGTCAAAGAAAAAATTCTGGTTTACATTGATTATGTTTTGAAATATTTCATTGCAGGACGTCACCAAGTTGACACCACTTTCCCATGAAGTTATCAGCAGGCAGGCTACAATTAATATTGGTAAGATAGCTCGTCACTTGACTTAAAAGTACTTTTAACCTCTTGTGTAATTACTTGAATAATATGGGTATTTACTTGAAGATTAGCTTGAGCAGTACAGTGTCAAAAAAGAAAGTTGTGGAGCCCTTGTAAACAGTGTGTTGCTGCCTTTTTTTTTTGGAGATATATGTGTGACAAGTTTAATAGTACAAGGCAGTATGTAATATGGTAGCAGAAGTTTGAAGTGAGAATACTTTCTTCTTGTCTTACAAGGACAGTTTATGGAAGTTTTATTTGATATATAAGCTATAATTAGGTAGATTTATTTCCCCCCTAATTGGCACCTAGAACTGTTGAGGTATATTGCTTGAGTCTAAAATGTGGTGTGGTCTGTTTTTGGTGTTTTTTTTTTGTTTTTTTAAGTTTTGAGACAGACTTGCTATATAACCCTAATCCTGGCTAGGTTGGTATTTACTGTGTAGCCCAGGCTGACATCTACCTCAAGGCAATCCCCTTGCCTCAGACTTCTGAGGACTGTGATTATAAGTGCTCTTTTTTGTTGTGTCAGAGTTAGTCCGATTAACTGGGTAAGCTTCGATGTTTTTTGATAGAAAAGATGATTTGTTTTGTTCTAGAACTCTCTGTGTGTAGTCCAGACTGGCCTTGAACTCAGATCCACAATGGCCCCTGATCTTGATAGGCAAGTTTTTTAGTATTTTTCAAGTTTTATGGCACAGTCTACCTACATTGTCCAGGCTGGCCTCAAACTCTCCATCCTGTTTCTTCCTCTCAAGTATATATTCTACCAAAGTTGATCTGAGAAGAACTTTGTAATAGAAAAGAGCATATAAAGGGGGTAACTGAATTCACTTTAAACAATTTTATTTCTATTATTATTTTGTGAATGTGTTTATCCATGCACATGTGTTGGAGTAAGGACAACTTTCAGGAGTTATCTCTGTTCACTATGTTGTCTGGGAGCTCAGGGCTTCAGGCTTTTGTGACAAGTGCTTTTACCTGCTGAACCATGTCACTAGCCCTGTCACTGTTGGTTTTACTTTGATGTTTATGGTTAGGGTTTTTTAGGTTTTTGGGGTTTTTGTTTGTTTGTTTTCCATAGATAGGTTTCTCATTGTTAGTCTGGCTGGCCTCAAACTCACAAAGATCAGCCTGCCTCTGCCTCCCCCTCCCCCACCCCCTCCCCCAAGTTCTCAGTTTAAAGTCATACCCATCACTGCTTGGCCAGGTTATTTTATTTTCTACTCAATACTATTTGAAAAAAATGTTTGGTGTGCTTACATGCAAAAGTTAATTTTGTTGTACTTTGTCAATAGGTACAATTGGTCATGTAGCTCATGGGAAGTCCACTGTGGTAAAGGCTATTTCTGGAGTTCACACCGTCAGATTCAAAAATGAACTAGAAAGGAACATTACCATCAAGCTTGGATATGCTAATGCTAAGGTGATCTGTGTTCAATGAAACTAGAAACTATTTAACTTGAATTGTTGCATAGGTAACAAATCCAGTTATTCCTTTTTTCTATTATATTGAAACTTTTCAGATTTATAAGCTTGATGACCCAAGTTGTCCTAGACCTGAGTGCTACAGGTCCTGTGGAAGCAGTACACCAGATGAGTTTCCCACAGACATTCCAGGGACCAAAGGGAACTTCAAATTAGTCAGGTAACTTTTATGCTAAAAATACTTTATGCTTCTTAAACCACTCTCTTGTGCTTTGTCCTTTTTCAAGTACTTAAGATACTGAACGCTCAACCTAATTGCTGAATGGTTTCATTGTTTTTCCATTATTTCATGTTATTTTACACAATGATGATTAATTTAAATGCTTATAAAAAGAAGCTCTGTAAGCTGAAAAATTGCATGAGGGAGCTGGAGAGGCTCAGATGTTACATGCACTTGCTGCTCTTGCAGAGGACCCTATTCAGACTTTCAATGGGCAATGCTTTGAGCTCAGAAAAGGCCGAGTCAGTAATTATACATTTGCTAGAAGTTATGGCCATCATGGGTATACCTACACAAATAAAAACAGACAATGCTCCATATGTCTCTAAGGAAATGAAACAGTTTTTTCTAATTTTAATATAAAGCATATTGCAGGTATACCACACAATCCTACAGGGCAGGAGTTATAGAAAGATCAAATCGAACTGTAAAGGCTATGCTAATATAAACAGAAAGGGATAATAAACCCAAAAATAGATTGCATAGTGCTTTATTAACTTTGAATTTTCTGAATGCTAATGAGAAAGGAGCAACAGCTATGGAGAGACATTAGATAAGAGCAAAAACTAAACTAACACATGTTTTTCATGTGTTTCATTTGATCAGCTATAAGTTGCCACGGGAGAATCTCCCCCAAAATTTGAAATTCATTGGTTAAAACATACTATACATAGTTTCAAATATTGTTCAAGAGATTTGTGCCTATATAGCTCATTTATCGATGTCATGCAAATTTCTAGTCCTTGTCAGTTATTATTGTCAACTGTATAAGATAATAAGGGAATGTAGGTATACATTTTTGTTCTTTTTTAATTTAATTTATTTGGCTTCTCTCTGTAACAGTTCTGCCTATCTTAGGACAGACCTTAAACTCACTGAGATCCGCCTGCCTCTGCCTCCCAAGTGCTGGGATTAAAGACATCCACCACCACCTGGTTGGGTATGGTGACGCATGCCTTAAATCCCATTGCTGGGAGACAGGCAGGCAGATTTCTGAGTTCTGAGCTAGCCTAGTCTACAGAGTGAGTTCAAGGGAAAGCCAGAACTACACAGAAACCCTGTCTTGAAAAACCAATAACAACAAAAAACAAAACTAAACTAAAAGCCATGATTCTGGTGCTGGAGAGATGACTTAGATGTTTTGAGACCAGATTTCTCTGTAGTCCTGGCTGTCAGATTACTCAGACATCTGCCTGCCTTTGCCTCCCAAGTGCTGGAATTAAAGGCATGTGCCACCATATCCAGCTGTAAGAGCACTTCTTAAGCAGAGGACTGGAGTTCAGTTTCTAACAGTCACAACAAGTGCCTCTAACTCCAGCTCGAGGGGCACTGATATCCTCTTCTGTCTTCTGTGAAGTTCAAATAAGATCTGAAAAGTAAATTCCTCAAAAATCATGACTTTGAGTACTGTCATTTTAGAGTAGTGCTGTCCTCACTTCAGATGCACAATTCCAGGTTTTCAGGGGTAGTGGTATTTTGGACAATGTACTTTTTTCAAATCCTCATTCTCCTTTTTAATATTTATTTTTACTTATGTATGTTTGGATATGCTTACCTGGGCGCCAGTACCTGTGGAAAGTAGAGGCATGAGACCCAAAGTCTGCATTTTCCAACAATAAGAACTAGTTCCCGTGTAACCTAAGAAATCTAGTTTGCTTGTAGTTGTGATTGGTCTTAGGCTGATTGTTATTTCTCAATTGTTAGGCATGTTTCCTTTGTTGACTGTCCTGGCCATGACATTTTGATGGCTACGATGCTGAACGGTGCAGCAGTGATGGATGCAGCTCTACTGTTGATAGGTAAGATCATCAGAATTGGTTTGAGCGAACCAATAAAGAACTAATTTGAGTGGAATATTTGAGGAAAAACTAAAACCTTTGGAGGCCATGTCCATTACATTACCTAAGTGAAGCATGAATACCAGTGTGTCGTCCAGAATGATGTTTCCTTCTAATAGATATCACAAACAGAATACTAAGCAAGAATTCTGGGGTTATAGGTATTATGCCCAGATCATGGGGTCCCCCAAAGCCACCAAGGAGTTCACACTCATGAAAAGCAAACAGTCTATTCAAGCTTGAGCTTAGAGAGTGCCCAGCCGGGCAAGGTAGGGTTTTTATCACAGTAGAAGTTGGGTGAGGGGATTTTCAGGGTTCAAGACCCTGCTTAACTGACATTTCTCTGAGGTGTCTTCCCCTTAGATGCTGGCCCTCTCTGGGTGGTGTCAGCTTAGGACTTTTGCTGGAACCTGGTGCTACTTGCCAGTAAACTGAAATTCAGGTCTACTTTTATCTGGTTTTTATTAAGCCTGCCATGGAATCAATGTGCCAAGCTGGTCTGAGCCCCACAATGGCTTCTGAGAAGTTTTACAGTATCCAAAAAGGAATAGTTTCACATATATTATTTCCACTTAAAATTTGTTTGGGCATATATGTGTGTTGTGAGTTGCCCCTCCATGTAGATAGTATAATTGTTATTTATTCACAGTCAGTAATTGCCATGATGTGATACAACATGAGAGTTTTCAAAGTTAACATTATGCTTCCTTATGTGAGCTAGCAGAGGATTTGACAGATGTGGATTTGGTATTTTTAGGTATGCAGGACACATCAACATACTGGGCAAGGTGATCGCTAACACCCTAAGTAAAACTTGCCTATCGTTCTTGTTTTTACAGTACTTTCCCTAGGTTAAGGAGTAGCCTTAATCTTCTCATAGGAGGTTGAGCCTCCTTGTAGGAGCTTGGCTTTGCCAGAACATACTAGACTAGATTGAGCTAGAAGGCCTGAGCTTCATTGAAAGCTTCTTGCTTAGGACCAGGAGTGGGAGGCTGCAGGGAATGCAGATTCAGTGTGAAGAGCTGGGGTCCTGCTTTGGCAGGGGAGTTCAGGTCCCAAAGAGGATGTGTGGAGTTGGGGGCAGGGTGGGGGGCACGACCTGAGGGTGAATCAGGTTGGCTGCCAGCAGCCTTTTACTGAGAAGAGATTACACCTTTTATACTATGTAGTTGCACATAGGATTAAACTAGAAACAAGAGACATGTGAGTGGGATGTGGCTTGAGACCAGGAGTTGAGGAAGCTAGCCTTGACCAACTGCTTTATCAAACAGGAGCTTTCCTCAAGCCCCCAACAGAATGGAGAACCTTATCCAAATGCCTGACCTTGGGAAAGAACTTCTTTGGGGGAGCAGAAACTGCTGTATCTTAGTCTTACTATATGGACCAGTTCCCCCCATAATGCTTCCAAAAGGAAAGGCCCTGATGTCTCTTCCCAATATACCATACTGAACTCTTGCCCTTAATGGCCTCAGGCTCTGGATCTGGATTGTAGGTGTCATCCTTGGGATCAGGTGTGTCTAGTGAATTTCTAACTTTCCTGATCTTGGTATAATTAGGAAGGCACAATGGAATTTCTGGTCCATGTGGCAGGGATTTTTTCCAAAGAATTATTTTGTTTAGAGGGGCTTACATTGTACACATTTTAATTCTTTACCAAAGTCCACACAATTTCCCAAAGGGAAAGACATTAATATTGAGAATCATCAAAAATGAAAGTAAAAGTTGCTGGCGAATTGTGGTCTGCAATGTTGAGATGCTGGAACTTTGCCAAGTAGCAATGGGCATCATGGGGTCCATGCCAGTGAAGCCAAGTTGGGAGTAGATATGTACATTATGTAAAGCTTACCATTTTACTTTTTAAAGGGTACAACTCAGTAACAAGAAGTACATTCAGAAATTTCATCACCACAAAAGTGAACACCCTGCCTATTAAGCGGTCACTGACCAATTAGACTCCCTCCAGCCCTTCATAACAAACAATCTACTTTCTATTTTTGAAATTGCATGGTCTGGATATTTCTAATTATTATTACTCTTTCTTGTTCTTTGTCAACTAGCTGGCAATGAATCATGCCCTCAACCTCAGACTTCTGAACACCTGGCTGCCATAGAAATCATGAAACTCAAGCATATTTTGATCTTACAAAATAAAATTGATCTGGTAAAAGAAAGTCAAGCTAAGGAACAATATGAGCAGATTCTGGCATTTGTACAAGGTAAGAAGCTATAATAACTAATAAATCAGAGGATCACTTTGAAAGGTAATATAGTGTATCTAAGAAAAAGTAAATTTAGGTATCATTGTAAGGATTCAGGCATTATACTGGCCTGTCACCTAGCAGAATGCACTCAGGCAGTACCCTGGTCAGCCCAGGCTTCCATGGTTGCATAGTCTGCAGGCAGGTCCAAAGGACCCCTTTGAGAGAGACTGACGACTGACTGACTGACTTCCACTCTCTTACCCACTGTTCCTCTGAAGGGGTAGGCAGGACTTTTCCTGTCTCCCTCTTCTCTTCCATTCTGTCTCTGTGTCTCTTTACCTCTTTTCTGTTCCTTCCCCTCTCCCCTTTCTAATAAAACTTCATTTAAGCTCTGTTTGCCTGGGATGTTTGTCCATTGCCTGCCTTAGAATCTGCCAAGGTCTCCCACATGCTTTATTATTATACTCATTAAATGTTCTTTTTTTTCTACTTGCTACTTGTTAGTGTCCTGATAAGACTATAAATATGTATTTCTTTTTTTGAAATAATGTATTTAACTATTTTATGTGCATTGGTGTGAGGATGCCAGATCCCCTGGAACAGGAGTTACAGACAGGTGTGAGCTGCCATGTGGGTGCTGGGACTTGAACCCAGGTCCTTAGAGAGAGCAGGCAAAATTAAAACTGAAGTTTGGCAATGCTCTCGGATTAAGTTTTTAAATGCCAAGGGCTTAGAGTGTAGCCAGTTTGTTTGTGTGTATAGCTAGTTCCAGGCCAGCAAGGACTGCATAGAAAGACCCTGCCTCAAAAGACAAATCAAAGCAATCTTCGCAGAGTTCCTTCTTTTCTCAAATACCATGGCATGTTCACTTTCAGAGGAGACATGATGCATATTACTGTTGACATCTAATTATTTTTTAGCCTTGTTGGAAACCTAGCACGAAAAAGAATAATCTATTTTGATTAAAATCTAATTATTTTTGGTCTATTTCCTTGACCAGTTTGCTTGACATATGATTAATTAAAAAAAGTGATATATGCCAGCCAGTCTTTGATTAGCAAAGAGTCTGTAATTTCCTCTTGGCATTTATGGAAAGGTTAATTACATGTTGTTAGAACTCTTAGCTTGTAAAGAGCTCCTTCCCAGAAGTGTTCATATTTTATTCCTTTAAACTCAGCATTTGCCTTTGTTAAATACACCTGTTGATATAGTTTTAGAGCTAAGGATAGAATATTCTCATCTTTCTAGATAGACCACTTTCTACGTGCTGACTGGCATTTGTGTGGAAATGTTGTTAGCTCTAATTACTTTGTCTAGTAGCTGTATAGATCAAGTTTTGTAAGACCCAAGGATTTTGATCTTTCTGAAATTTGTTAATGTAGGAACAGTAGCAGAAGGAGCGCCAATTATTCCAATTTCTGCCCAGTTGAAATACAATATTGAAGTTGTCTGTGAGTACATAGTGAAGAAAATACCAGTGCCCCCAAGAGACTTTACTTCTGAACCCCGTCTCATTGGTAAGTGATAGGAATCACGCTTAACTGAACTTTTCCACATTAGTTTTCCACTTCAAGGTTGTTTACTACTAGTTTCTCTTTCCGCAGAGGTGGTGATAAATTCATAAAACCTATTTAAAATAATGTCTTGATTATATTGCTGGATGACAGAGCCTTTTTTTTTTTTGCTTTGTATATGGTATTTTATGCAGCCAACATGGAATAATACAGTATTCTAGAGAAGTACAACATGTTGGAATGTTAGAGTTTCCATATAAATGATGTCATTGTGCCGTTACTGAAAAACCACTAAGTTTAATTTCACTGAGCTGTGATTGCTGTTCAAAGATGTGGGACCCTTTTCAAAGCAGGTTTTTGGGCCATTCTGGGCCTTCATTTGGAGCTGTTTGTGTGTTTATTGGGGAACGCTCTCTTGGGTGACCTAAGAATTAAGTCATATAGTCTTAGAATTGTTTTATAAGTTTAAAAGTAAACTTGTATTGTAGAAGCCATATAATACAGAAATCCTATATTTAAAATATCAAGCATGGTAGTGCAGACCTGTAATCCCAGGCAGAGGCAAGTGGATCTCTCTGTGAGTTCAAGGTTAGCCTAGTATATGTAGTGAGTTCTGTGTCTGTGTGGCCTAAAGTGAAGCCCTCTCAAAAAACATAAGTGGCAGACTGTATGTATCCACATGCAGTCTCCTGTGCACTTGCTTGATTGACTTTTCTGATGATGCTGGAGGTAACAAGGCCTAACTCATTCGAGGCAAGGGCTGGGCCACTGAACTACCCCAGTCCTCAAATCATAATAGCTAATTTGTTGTAAATGTTGTGTAAATAGTTATGATACATAGGGAAGGCCAAGCCACATGTCTAAACTTTTTTTTCTTTTTGGCGGTGGAGTCATCGCTTTGAGTTTTTTTTATAACTTGCTTTTTTCTTTAACAATATATGGAATCTGTTGTAGATCATTATATATACTTTAACATTAATGTGCTATCAAGGTATTTCCAATATTTTTCCTATCACAAGTAAGTCTTCAGTAAACATTAAAGCAATAATATTAGATTGTTTTTAGAAAAGCTAACTTGAAAAAGACTTTCTTCTAAATCTAAAGTAAATAGAAATGGCTTTAATTTGTGTTTGATTTTCTTTTAGTTATCAGGTCATTTGATGTCAACAAACCTGGCTGTGAAGTTGATGACCTTAAGGGAGGTGTAGCTGGTGGTAGTATTCTCAAAGGAGTGTTGAAGGTAAACTGGGTTTGAATTGTTACACTATGTATTTGTTTGTTACATGTGAATGCTACGGTGCACACATGGATGTAAGACAACTCTTCAGGGGGTGACTCTCTATTTGTGGGTTCTCCGGATTGAACTCAGGTCATCAGGCATGGAAGTAAGTACCTTTACATCTCGGCCAGCTCGTCAGCCTGTCATTGTCTTGAGCAGCCTGGCCTCGACCTTAGAGATCCCCTTGCCTCTGCCTCCTGAGTGCTGGAGCTAAAGGTCTGCACCACCGCACCCAGTGAAAAATGTTTTTCATGTTGTCCGATCTTGAATATGGATTTTTGTTTTTTGAGACGGTTTCTCTGTTGTTTGGAACCTGTCCTGGAACTCGATCTATAGATGTCAACAGAGATCCGCCTGTCTCTGCCTCCCAAGTGCTGGGATTAAAGGTGTGCATCACCACACCCAGCTTGAATATGGATTGGTTTAATTCTCTAGTGAGTGTGGAACATGTTTTAAGTAACAACAGGTTTACTTGGTCAACTGCAACAATTGAATTTTAAACTTTCCTTTTTAGATTTATATGTATGGGTGTTTTGTCTCCATATATGTATGTGTCCACGTAGACCAGAAGATGGTGTTAGGTCCCCTGAAGTGTGAGTTAGCGAAGGTTGTGAGCTGCCATGTGGGTGCTGAGAACTGAACTCTGATCCTCTGTGAGAGCACCAAGTGCTCTTTAACTGTTGAGCCATCTATCTACTCCATGTCGGTTTTTTTTTTCTAAAGACGGTGCCCACCTTTAAATCCAAGCACTCAGGAGGCAGAAGCAAGAGGATCTATGAATTCAAAGTTAGCCAGATCTACAGAATGAGTTCCAGGACAGACGGGTATATAGAAACCATGTATCCAACAAACTCAAGTAGTAATTTTAACCTGGCATGGTAGCTCACAGTTGGGAGGCAGAAGCAGGCTGGTATCTGTGAGTTCAAGGCCAACCTGTTCTACTTAGTTGTAAGCCAATAAAAGCAATAATAAATAAGTAAATAAAAGTAGTAATCTTAAAATTAGAAGAAAGATATAGCCTTTTAGTTTTGTGGTCTTTTTTGTTAGAACATTGGTAGGTAAATAGTAAATGTGTTCTATAGTAATTCTCACTACTAATTATGTGTTTACAGGTAGGCCAGGAGATAGAAGTGAGACCTGGTATTGTTTCCAAAGATAGTGAAGGAAAACTCATGTGTAAACCAATCTTTTCCAAAATTGTATCACTTTTTGCGGAGCATAATGACCTTCAGTATGCCGCCCCAGGTGGTCTCATTGGTAAGGATTTCCCTGTTATCTTTTAATTTGTAGATATTCCTGGTGTAATATATTATATAAAGATTGATTGTAGGGTTTGTTTGTTTGTTTGTTTTGCAGATCTGTTTTTATCTGTATGGGTTTGTTTGCTGTGTGTTTGCCCTTTGTGTATTGGTGCCCAAGAATGCCAGAGAGTGCATCAGACCCCCCTGGAACTGGTGTTTCAGAGGTTGTGAGCGAGCTGCCTCTTATGTTGTGGGAACCAAACCCAGGTTCTCTGCAAGAGCAGCAAGTGCTCTTCACTGCTGAGTCATCTTTCCACCTTGCTTTGTTTTTATTTGGAAATTGTTTGGTTTTTGTTTGTTTGCCTTTTTGAGAAAGGTCTCTACATATTCCTGTCTGGCCTCAGATTCATAAAGTCCACCTGCCTCTGCCTCCTGAGTGCTGAGATTAAAGGGCTACCCTATCCTGTTCTGGTTGAATTTGACATAGGATCTTGCCATAAACATAATACATTTTGGAGCAGCAGTATGATTCAGGTGAAGGTGCTTGCTCACCCACTCAAACAAGCAAAGCCATTAATAATAAACAATCTTTTTAATGTATGTTTGGGTTGATGATTATTAGCAATAATAATTATTTCTGGCTATTTTGTTTTGAAGTACTAGGGTTTGAACCTAAAATCTAGAACATGCTAGACAGGTACACTGAGGTATAGCCTTAGCCCTCTTTTTCCACTTTTTTAATTGCTATTTGTTTTCATGTTTATGGGTGAGGTGTGTGTGTGCACCACATGCATGCCTAGTGCTCACAAAGGCCAGAAGAAGGCATTGAGTACCCTGCGACTGAAGTTCAGACAGTTGTGAGCTGCCTGCCCTATGGGTACTGGAAATGAAGCTGTGTCCTCTGGAAGAGCAGCCAGTGTTCTTAATCGCTGAGCCCTCTCTCCAGCCTCACTCTTTTTTCTTCTGAGAAAGAATCTTACAAGGTTACCCAGGCTGTCCTTGAACTCACTTGCTCTGTACTTCAGGTCTTCCTGCCTCGAGATCTCCAATAGTTGGAATTTCAGGTCTGTGCCACCGTGCCTGGCATAAAATAAGTTTAATGGCCTAGCATTCAAAATATGCAACTAGTTACATACAGTTTGGGGATTTGGGTTTGTTTGTTTTACAGTCTTGCTATATTTCCCGTGTTGGCCTTGAATTCCCTTATTTAAACGGTCCTCAAGTAGCTGGTTTGCACAAGAGTGCCTGGTTTACTCTTTGGTAAAAAACTTGAAGCCGGGCGTTGGTGGCGCATGCCTTTAATTCCAGCACTCAGGAGGCAGAGGCAGGCGGATCTCTGTGAGTTCGAGGCCAGCCTGGTCTACAGAGCGAGTTCCAGGACAGCCTCCAAAACAATACAGAGAAACCTGTCTCAAAAAAAAAAAAAAACCAACAACTTTAGGTTATTGTGGTTGCTTTTCATAGTGTTGTGAAATGTAAAGTTACTCAAATGTCAGATTATACTCATTCTGAGGAGGGAATAAAAGAAAACTTACATGTAAACATGAGCAACTGTAGTCCCACATACTTGGGAGTCTGAAGCAGGAGGATTGCCTTTAACTCAGAGAGTTCACCAGTGTGAACAGCATAACCAGACTCAAGATACAAGACCTTCTTCAAGTAAGACCCTATGTCCAAAAAAAAAAAATCAGAAAATGATTGAGGTAGGGGGTAGATCAAGTAAGAGAACTTCTACCTTGTGGAAGCTGCTGAATTGATTAACGGGTTTTCTGTTTTTCGAGACAGGGTTTCACTGTGGATCCCTGTCTGTCCTGGAACATATACTGTAGACAGAGATCCACATGCCTCTTGAGAAAAGGGCACAATTAAATGAAGAGTTCAAAATTTACACTTGGACTAAAGAAGAAAATGTGCACAATTTATTTTTCCTTTCTGTCATGTAATTAAAAGTTTACTATAAGGACTGGAGATGTAGCTAAATGGTTAGGAGTGCCTATTGCTCTTGCAGAATTCCTGAATTCAGGAGCTACTTGTAATTCCTGCTCCAGTCAAGCCAGTAGCCTGGATCCACACATAGATAATATACATATACACATAACTTAAAAATAAAAAACAGCTGGGTGTTGGCAGTACACGCCTTTAATCCCAGCACTCAGGAAAGGGTGGGGGGTCTCTGTGAGTTCAAGGTCAGCATGGTCTACACAGCAAGTTCCAGGACAGTCAGAACTGTTACACAGAGAAATAAATGGATGGATGAGAGAGTGCGCATGTATTTTGTTAGGCTCAATCAATTTATGTGTGTGGAAATATGTATATGTGGGTGTTGATTTGTGTTTATTAAACTAGACTTTAAAGCAAATCGCTCCAAAGGTGTTTTAGATAAAAAATAAGGACAAATACATCTTTATATTAGGAGTTGGAACAAAGATCGACCCCACTTTGTGCAGAGCTGACAGAATGGTGGGACAAGTGCTTGGTGCAGTTGGAGCTTTACCTGAAATATTCACAGAACTGGAAATTTCCTATTTCCTGCTCAGACGTCTTCTCGGCGTCCGAACTGAAGGAGACAAGAAGGCAGCAAAGGTACATGCTTTAGATAACTCATGTTTATTATTTGTTTAGGGTTTTGTTTTTTGTTTTTCCCACGACAAGGTTTCTCTGTTAAGCCCTGGTTTTTCTGGCTGGCCTTAAACTCACAGAGATCCTCCTGCCAGTGCCTCTTGAGTGCTGGGACTAAAGGAGTGGCCACCAGTGCCTGACTCCTATTTGTTTGGGGTTTGAGGCTCTTTTATTTGTTTTGTTTTGTTTTGAGGCAGGGTCTCAACATAGCCCCTGCTGTCTTAGAACTCACTATGTAAACCAGGCTGGCCTCAAACTCACAGAGATCAGTGCTGGGATTACAATTCTGTGCTACCACACTCTTCCTTATTTTGTTCCCTTTCTCTAATTTATTTTGCTAGGTCCAAAAGTTGTCTAAGAATGAAGTGCTTATGGTCAACATAGGATCCCTGTCAACAGGAGGAAGAGTTAGTGCTGTCAAGGCTGATTTGGGCAAGATTGTTTTGACTAATCCTGTGTGTACAGAAGTAGGAGAAAAAATTGCCCTTAGCCGAAGAGTTGAGAAACACTGGCGGTAAGTTTACCTTTCCCATTGTCTGATAAAGAGCTTAAGTTCTTGGTGGGATATATATTTATGGACACAGTTCTCCTTGAACACAACAGTTAGTGTGGCTATAACGCTCACCTTTTTGTTCGGATGGTTTTGAAAGCTGTATTTAGAGCCTTGATTTGTATTCTTTTATATTACAAATACTTCAAGTGGCTTCCCTTTGTTTTAGATGTAACTAATACAAAAAAACAGGTAAGTTATGTTTTAGTATTTGCATCATCTGACTTTGTTTCCCCATTAATTGTGTGTGTGTGTGTGTGTGTGTGTGTGTGAGTCAGAGACAGACAGAGAGAGCGCACTCAACTTGTGTGTTCGGGGATTGAACTCAGATCATTCTGCTTGGCAACAGTTAGCATCCTTTTAACCATTCTTTGTTTTTATTTTTTATTTTTTTGCTGTTTTTTTTTAAATGTATATAGAGGTGCACACATCACACATGCCATGGTACACCTATGGAGGTCAGAGAACAGCTTCTTGTTCCACTGTGTGGACTCTGGGGGTGAAACTCAGGTAGTCAGGGTTGATGATGAGTGCCTTTATCCATCTGTTGTTACATAAGGGCTCGGGCAGAATCAATCTTCTAAACACTGTCATAGTGCTGTGCTAAAGAATTTCTAATATCTTGTCACTGCCTGTGAATATTTGGGGTCTTTCTAGAAGTCAGTTTGGGTCCATTTAACCTTTCTGTTGGTTTATCTAAAATATATGCCCCATTATCTCTACCACCAGCAGCAGCAGCCCCTATGTAGCCCTGGCTGTTCTGGAACTCACTATATAGACCAAGCTAGCCTGGAATTCAAAGGGATCCATCTGCCTCTGCTTCTTGGGTGCTGAGATTAAAGGCGTGGATCACCATGGCTTGCAAAACCCCTGCTGTGGCGGGCAGTCTGCTAATGGACAGTGTTCCTGCAGTTCTCTTTATTTTCCCAGCTGATATTATTTAAAGACCATTGATGTGCTGAGACGGGGAGTGGAAAGAAAACATTTTCCAAAAACAAGTACAGGGAAGTAGGGTTTGATTTGTTTTTAAATCTGAGCTGAGGAAATTCCATCTTAAACAAAAATTGCCCGTTGTAGTGCTCATGCCAGCACATGGGAAGCAGAGGCAGGTGGACTTCCATGGGTTCAAGGCTAGCCTGATTTACACAGCAGCAAAACATACATGGACCAACACTTATTCACATGCACTTGCATGCACACAGTCACACAGACACAAAATGTATTAGAGTGTAATTTGGGTAGCCTGAAGGGCCCTTAGGTGTATCTGAGCAGTGTGAACAGCTAGGTGATTCTTTTCTTCTTTTGGCCAGAGGGGTAAGAAAAATATATTCTTTCTGGGGAGTTGTTTTAATTTTTTTATTTCATTTTATGTTTGCCTGAATGTATGCTCACCACGTGTGCCTAGTGCACAAGGCAGTTGGAGTAAATTGTCAGATCTGTGTGATTGTGAGCTACCATATGGGTGCTAGGAACTGTACCCAGGAGCAGTGAGTGCTGTTCACCATTAAGCTCTCTCTCCAGCACTTTGCTTTTGTTTTTCTTTAGACCAGACTGTCCTTGTACACAGATAGATCTGCCTCCTCTGCTTCCCAGGTGCTGGCATGAGCACTACAGCGGGCAATTTTTGTTTTAGATGGAATTTCCTCAGGCTAGCCTCCAACTTAATATGTAGCCATGAACAAACATTTTCCTATCTCCCAAGTGCTCCCACACCCAACCTAGTATATTATGACAGCAGGCTTTGTTTGATTTTCTTGCCATGCTGCCCAGCATCCATCTATCTGTTTTTTAGAGTCTAAGAAAATAGTATGAGCTTTCTTTATAAAGAAGCAGCTTTGTCCAGGAGAGCCTCCAAAACAATACAGAGAAACTCTGTCTCGAAAAAGACCAAAAAACAGGGAGTGGGGGCATAGTCCTGCCTCAACTTGGTATGCCAGACTTTGTTGCTTCCCCAAGGAAGGCCTTACTTCCCCCCAGGAGTGGATGGGTGTGGGAAGGGGGGATTGGGGAGAACTGTGGTTGGTATGTAAAATGAAAAATAATTTTTTGAAATAAAAATAGAAGCAGCTTTGATCTGAGTGAAGGCAGGCAGGTCAGGTAAAGCAGTCTGTGGGATGCTTGTGTGGTAATGCCAGTGCAGTAATGTAAAGCTTATGATTTCTGATTTCTTCTATTTTTATTTTGCAGTTTAATTGGTTGGGGTCAAATAAGAAGAGGAGTAACCATTAAGCCGACTGTAGATGATGATTGAAGAATTCAAGTTAAACAATGCCTTGGGATGGAGTTGGAATTTCTTTTAATAACCTAGGGGTATATTTTCAAGGCTATACTAGGAAATTAATTTCGTAGTTCATTGTGTTAGTAGCTACAAGAATATTCTCATATCTTGGTGATGAAAATTTAACCTACTTCTAATATAAGGCCTACAGGTAAATATGAAAAGTGGTATACTATATACTATTGGATTAAATCTACATTTTAGCAGAAGTTAGGCATTCCAGAATAATGCCTAATTTATCAATCAGTGCAAATTTGAAGTGAAACTTCACTACAACCAGCCTTTGCTATAGCATACATATCATGAACCCCTCTAAAATGAAAATGGTCTCTTCTCTCATGATCCATCTGTGAGTAGCTCCATGATGAAGGACAGTTGACCTAAAAAAACTAAAGACTCACACTTTCCTTGACGACCCACTCTCTATTTGTCCTCCTATTTGTTCAGTTACCTGAAATTGAAGGGAAAGGATCAATGAGCTCAAATGAGCAAGGCTCTTAGAAATTGAGTGCTCATTCCCTTGCCACAGGCGGACTTTCCTCTCGTCCTTTTCCTGGATGGGACCATAGAAACCCAGCCCCAGAGGCTCTCATCCTCTTCTAGTGCCCTGAGACTATGTCTTTATTATTTATGCCTAAAATCTCAGTCTTCCCTCGATGGAAATAGTATTATAAGAATGGATTCTTAACGATAATTGACAACGTTCTGTCCGGGCTGTGTTTTCTGGGGTCTTTGTAAGCTATGGATGGAACAGAGTCTCCTGCGTGATGAACAAGCACTCTACCGCCAGCTCTCCTGCGCCAGCTGTAGTAGTTCTCCCTAGTTGGTAGGATTGTGGTGTGAATTGTACTTAGTAATCTTTGAAACTTGGAAGAGATAGAAAGTCTTCAAAAGCAGAGTGTGTTGGTTCCTAAGTCTATCCCCCACATGCCTGCAATTTCCCTGTGCTGTACTTTTCAATTAATCATGTTTTTGCATAATTAGATACTCCGCTAAAGCAGTGATTACAGTTCTCAATGGCATGAGAATTGCTGGGAAAGTTTTTTCTTTCTTTCTTTTTTTTTTTAAGGCCAGGTGATGGTGATGCGGACGTAGGGAGACAGAGGCAGGAGGCTCTCTTGAGTTCAAAGTCACCCTGGTCTTTAGAGCTAGGTTTACATAAGGACACCCTGTCTCAAAAAAAAGGGTGGGGAGCAACCCCCAGTGTTGAGAAAGTTTAGGGAGTTGAAAAATATACATACTAAATAATGATGTCACTGATTTTCGTAGTTTGATAATGTTTCATTTGCTTTTCTTTGATTTGCATAAAATGGAATTTAATGCCGCAGTTACTGTGTTATCATCTTTTGGATTCTGAAGCCGCCTTATAGGGGTTTAGAACTGTGGCTGTGAGTTTTTAAGAATTTTGAGGAAACTACTGACATTATGTATTTGATTGACTCTGAAGGGTTGTGTTGTAGCATGAAGAACACATTTAAATAAAACAAGGTTCTGAATCGAGCATTAACTTTTATATCTGTGTGCCCATATGTTTTATAGATACTTTATACTAGAAATTCTGGTATGAGACTGAAAATATTGAATAGTTTATGCAATCTTATGTCAGAACTAAAACCAGAATCTCTTGTCATTAATTTCAAGCATCTGTGTGAATATCAACTTTGTAAAGCACTGTGCTTCATATATTGGCCATATAAGAATGAAAACAATGTACCATGTTGTCTTAAAAGCCACTTCAAATCAATGCAATGATTCTCAGCAAAATATGTACCTGATTAAAGTTAGTCTAAGAAGAATAAGGGGCATGAACATGCTACCTAAAAGCCCTCTCTTTTTATACTCTGTAACCTTCAAGGATGAGATGTGTGCTACGTTTTACAGAGCAATAGAACTAATAAGTGCACAAATACCTGGACTCATAAATTTCATTTCTTAAAAAAAGACGTCATTTGGTGATGCTTTCAATGAAATAGATACTTTGGGAGGTTGGTTTTGTTTTGTTACTGAAAGTAAGTATACAGGCACAGGTCTGCAATCTTAATACTCGGAACATTGGGGCTGGAGGACTGAACTCGAGGCCATTTGGACAAAATACCTATACATGTTTTTTTTTTTTAAAAAGGGGACTTCTGCAAAAATTTTTACAAGCTAAATATACATTTTGCTAATTTTCAACAAATTACTATGCTAATTGGAGTATTATAGAACATAAAAGGAAAATGGAAGACAGCAGATACCCTAACTTGTTCAGGATGATTATATCCCTGGCTAGGCTGCTTGCTAATCTCCCAGCACTGGGGTGGTTGGGGCTCTCATAAAGGTCTGGAAAAGTGTTTTAAGGGCATTAGAATACATATAACATGAAAGTGGAGTGGATCTGCTGAGGATACAAGCTGGGTAAGGATGCAAGGAAGGGAGGCGGTCAAATAAAAGTATGTGTGAAAATGTCATGAAACCCTTTATGTGTGCTTTAGAGCCTGGGTGCATATATGTGTACTGCGTGTGTATAGGAGCCCACACATGTCACAATATGGAGTCAGATCTCCTGGTGCTGAGTTCTGAGCTGTTGTGCTGGGAATTGAGTCTGGGTCCTTGAGCTAGAGCAGTAAGCACCTTTACCTGCTGCTCTTGAGCTAGAGCAGTAAGCACCTTTACCTGCTGCTCTTGAGCTAGAGCAGTAAGCACCTTTAACTGCTAAGCCATCTTTCCAGCCACCTCAGTTCACTTTTGCTCTCTTCTGTTCTAGAAACCCAGCCCATTGTATTATACCACTCATGTTCAGAGTGGGTCTTTCCTGCTTAAAGCTTTCTGGAAACATGCTCATATACAGCCCCAAAGAGATGTTTCCATGGTGATTGTAAATTATTCAGTCAAGTTGGTAAGATTCCTCTTCAGAGTTTCACCCTTCTACTACACACTTAATGAAACCACATTGCTTTAAATCATAACATTGTGCCCTAAAGTCCCACTTTCATCTCAGTGCAAAATACATCCAGTCCATCTCTAAAAGTGTCCGTATTCTTTTAATGGTTTCTTCTGGTACCTAAGGCAATGTCAACTGCAAGCCCCTATAAAGTCAAAATACAGATTATGTACTCTGTGGCCCAAGATAAATATTCCCATTTGCACAGGGAGGGATGGGTGGGTAGGAACAAAAGTTCTGGCCAGAGCAAGACCAAAACCTAGAGCAAACATCAAATCTGCAGCTCCTTGTCAGGCATCTGAGGTTCATGATGAAATCATCCAGGCTTCAGAAATCTTGGGTAGTCCCAACCTTCAAGCTCTGCTGCCTTCCAGTACACACAGCCTATCTTGGGCCAGCTGCCCTCCATGCCAGGAGTCCCCCCACGATCCTGGTCTCCATAGCAATTTAGGCTTCACACAATGTCCTCTTAGGGCCTCCCACCCCACCACACATTTCTTGGCCTCATCTTGGCAGATTTTGTGGTACCACCCTATGCCTTAGTACCCTTGCATCTTGCATGCCTGTAAAACCAGGGTCAGATGGGCAAAGCTACCAGTTCTAGATTTAGTCAACTCAAGAAGTACCCTGGCCTCTTTAAACCAAAGCCTCAGTACATAGGTGGTGGCTTTAGAGCAGGGAACCCCTGTTTTCTGTTAGGAGTTAGGTTCTCTTCTTTCAATGAATTTGTATTTTTCACAAGATGGGTAGGATAGTCCCTTTCCTGTTTGCCCAGTGCAGTATAGGGTGTTCCTTTTTTTTTTTTTTTTTTTTTTTTTTTTGGTTTTTCGAGACAGGGTTTCTCTGTGGCTTTGGAGGCTGTCCTGGAACTAGCTCTTGTAGACCAGGCTGGCCTCGAACTCACAGAGATCCGCCTGCCTCTGCCTCCCAAGTGCTGGGATTAAAGGCGTGCGCCTGCTGTTTTAGCACCAGATTTGTTTGCAAATTTCAAAAACACCCATGCCAAACAGTGTTTTTCATATTTTACTTCCTTTGTTGTCCCCCCCCCGTCTTTTGAGACAGTTTTTCTCTGTGGCTTTGGAGGCTGTCCTGGAACTAGCTCTTGTAGACCAGGCTGGCCTGAAACTCAGAAATCGCCTCTGCTTTCCAGGTGCTGGGATTAAAGGCATGCGCCACCACTGCCTGGCTAGACCATTTCTTTTTAGTTCAGCCTCATTCAAGTTCTCAGGATGGAGGTAAAATGCAGTCAGATTCTTTACCCAAATATGACAAGAATGACTTGAAGTTTTGGTCCCTTCTGAAACCTCACAAGGTGGGCCTTCACATCTGCATTTCTCTCAGCATTGTGTCTTTTACATTCTCACCAGAATATCCCGTTTAGCTCTGCTTGCAGCATTCTAGCTTTTCTAGCCCATAGTTCCAGACTCTTCCTCATTCCTCCTGAAAATAATTTCCAGAGGCCCAAAACCGTATAGGTTTACCACAGCCACAGTCCCGCTTAGCAGTACCGGTTTTCTAGATGTGTTACTTTTCTCACGACGGGATACTTAAAAAGCAACATACGGAATGGGGTTTGTTTTGCCTTCCGGTTTGGGAGAACGTGAAGGCTGTGAAGGCAGCAGGAATGTGAGGCAGCTGCTGACTGTATCACTGTGGTGAGGCAGACAGATGGTGCTGCTGTTCAACTCTCTCTCTCCACTTCATTTAGTCCTGTAACAGCCCAGGAAATGCTGCTGTTCATATTCAAGCGAAGTCTTCCCTACTCAGCTAAACCTTCTGAAAATACACACATTGACATCCCCAGAGCTGTGTGTCCATGGTGATTCTAAACCCAGTGAAGTTGGCAATGAAGATTAATAATCACATTTGGCTAAGTAACAAGTTCCAGGCCAGCCTGGGCTACATGACACCCAGTCTCAAAAAAAACAAAAGGGGGCCGGGCGTTGGTGGCTAACGCCTTTAATCCCAGCACTCGGGAGGCAGAGGCAGGCGGATCTCTGTGAGTTCGAGGCCAGCCTGGTCTACAGAGTGAGTTCCAGGACAGCCTCCAAAACAATACAGAGAAACCCTGTCTCGAAAAACCAAAAAAAAAAAAAGAGTTCATGCTGTACCTGCAGAGGACCCAAGTTTAGTTACCAATACCTACATTGGGTGACTCACAACTGCCTAGAACTCCAGCACCAGGGTGATAAGAGGTGTCTGTGGACACCTAAACTCATGTTTGAGGTTTTTTTTTTTTTTTAAGAATGAAAGGAACTGGAGAAATGGTTCAGCAGTTAAGCTTCTTGCTGCTCTGGCAGAAAACCAGAGTTCAGTACCCAGAATCCAAATCAGACAGTTCACAACCACGTTATAATTCAAGCTCCAGGGGATCCTATGCCCCCTTCCTGCTTTTGAAGACACTCTTGCACACACAGACACACATATACACATAAACATAATTTTTGGTTATTTCTCTGTTCAACATCCCTGGCTGTACTGTAACTGGAGTTGTAGACCAGCTGGCCTCAGAAATCTACCTGCTTCTGCCTCTGGAGTGCTGAATTAAAGTCATACACAGTCACCCAGTGGCTACACACACATCTCTAATCCCAGCAGGAAAAAAAACTGGAAAAAAGAGGCATGCACAACCATGCCTGGCTCAAAAATTTTTTTTAAAAATTTTAAAAATCCAGCAATTATTGCATTCTTGTGTCCATATGAATGCTTTAGAAATTGGGGGGAGGAAATGACTTAGAGATGTATTTCATACAATGCAAGGAATTTTAAGGGGCTGGAGAGCTGGTCTTCCAGAGGTCCTGAGTTCAATTCCCAGCAACTACATGATGGCTCACAACCATCTGGTGCCCTCTTCTGGCCTGCAGAGATACATGAAACAGAACACTGTACACTGTATACATAATAGATAAATCTAAAAAAAAATAAACTAAGCCAGGTGTTGGTGGCACATACCTTTAATAAAACTAGCACTTGGGAGGCAGAGGCAGGCGGATCTCTGTGAGTTCGGGATCAGCCTAGTCTATAAGAGCGAGTTCCGGGGCAGCCTCCTAAGCCACAGAGAAACCCTGTCTCGGAAACAAAAAAATAAAGCCAAGTATAGTCACTCACATCTGTAATTCAAGCAGTCAGGAGACTGGGGAAGGAGAATTCTAAGTTTGGAGCTACTCTGAGTTAACACAAGACTGTCTCAAAAGGGAATGTGTAAGAATTGTGAATAAATGGAGCAACTACAGCTGGGCGTTGGTGGCGCCTTTAATCCCAGCACTTGGGAGGCAGAGGCAGGCGGATCTCTGTAAGTTCGAGGCCAGCCTGGTCTACAAGAGCTAGTTCCAGGACAGCCTCCAAAGCCACAGAGAAACCCTGTCTCGAAAAACCAAAAAAAAAAAAAATGGAGCAACTAGAATGAAATTCAGAGGATAAAATGTCATTGGACTTAAATCCATGGTCTTGTTTAGAGCAATCTGCCATTTCCCACTTCAGTTCTGCAGTATTGCTCTCCAACACTTAGCAAATGAGGTATACATAATGGTAATGGGAAAGACAAAACATTTCTTATAAAGTATAGGCTATCCAACCA